GCATCCTGCTAAGGGTGTTCGGCATCTTGTGCTTACTTCATTGCGTAGACCACGGATGACAGCTGCGTATGACTTAATATATTTTCTGGTGCTTTCACTTCCAGAGAAAGTTGTAAGCACTGAGTAACTGCCTCGAGGATGCTTGACCACTTTAACACAACGTGGTGCGATCATCCCCCTTACGCGGAGTGAGGGTTCTCCACCCCGCACAACATGATCTACTCGGCCACCATTATGGTAAACGCCAAAAAAAAACAGCGAGAAAAAAAAAAGGGTAACCTGGTTGCCGAGTTCACAAATGAATTAGCTTGTTTTCCAACGTCGTTGCCAAGCGACGCAAACCCCAACCCCGATGGCAAACACCGGGGGGGGCAGGAAGGGCGTGGGGGGAGGAGGTATTCGTTGAATGACGTGTGGAGGGTCGGCGGTGGTAGTTCAATTCGACAGGTGGAGGGAGAAAGCGGTCCGACACGAACATGCGAACAGCGAACAACAGGTGACTGGTGTGCGCTATGTGAAAGGGCGTTCGTTCATGGTGGATGGTGAGGCATGTGGGATAAGGTATAGTCTATAGGTAAACTGATAGATGATGACCGTTTTCGATTCGTGATTTGTTTTGTAACGACAGAAAGAATACTCAGCGATCACACACGACATTGGCAAGACCAGTTGGGAACTATTATTCTGCAGGGAAAAACTGCTCCAGCTGCCGCACAGAGCGGCGGCTTGGACTTGTCTCGACCAGCATGTCACACAGTCTACTACACACAGCAGTAGATGTCCACGCACCTCTCAAGTAAAGAAAAAAAAACACCACAGGATACAAAAATCAAGGCAAAAGAGGACACGGTGGGTGCTTCAACAAGGTTTCCGCGATCGCGATCCCGAAGTGTGATGTTCAGAGGAGAATTCAGCAGAGGACATCATGGAGCAGCGTCACGCATTCATTCGCGTCGGCACGGGCCAGATGTATCTATCGCTGTGGTGGGGCCGTGCTGTCGAGGGCTTCAGCTGCGGTCCAAAAGGTTCAAGAATCTTGGGGGCAACAATCACGTGCCGTCTCAATTACGGGTGGAAAGCAATAGCTCACACCCCCTGATGCCTTTGACGACCGGCAGTTTTGGGGATTGGGTCCTTGGCGGCGCGCACCTGTGGGCCGTGTACGGTTTTTGACCCAGATTTATTTGCTGCGGACATTTCGGGGCGCAGGTGCATAACAGGTAGATAGATCTGGGCGTTCCGACGCGCATGTCGCTGCTCCATGATGTCCTCTACTGATTCCCATCGGACGTCGACGCTTGCTAAGCCGGAGGGTAGTCTCGTTATATTCTTGGATATATCTATGGAGACTAGACTACATCATACATGCTTGTTTGCCTCGAAGATACAATCCAGTTGACGGATACATGGTGGTATCCAAAGATATCATATCCGCTGGACGGATATTTTTACGAGTGCCAGCGGCCCACTCTCAAGACACGCTATATTTTCACGGGCCGCCTGCTCAGAGCTCTTGGAGGGTGGAAACGATTGAGCACCAGTGGCTGTATGTATTTCAAGCTATAGGCTATGCATACATGCATACTGCTGTAGTATGTGTATACCATATGGTAGGATTTAGTGTGGTGCCGGCTGTTGTGCCCAACGGTATTCTGAGTCTCTAAGCATACGGGGCGGCACGGCTTGAGTCCATGGACTAGTCTATACTGCCAGAATCTGTAGTCTACCCATTCCGTGTTCATATGTTCCTACAAGAAGACGAGGTTGTTGTTTTGCCCTGCAACACACACAACTCAGAGAGGTTATTGCGCGAGACTAAGAGAGGAAGGAAGGAAAAGGACAAGGACATTTCGACTAATGACGGAGGGGCTACTGCTGAAAACTTGTGCGCACAGCAGCACAGTGAGGCGTGGTTGGATTCGCTCCACGCTGCATCATCTCGTGACGCCTGCTGTGTGTAGTCCATGAGTGCGGCAGTTGATAATCAGTAGAATATTGTGCCGTACGTAGCAGTAACGAGTGTCCTACTACATGGAGGGGACCATAGTGTACGCTCTGGTGGCACGATGGCATCGTGGGGTTCCACCGCATTGCGTACAAATAGACGAGCAGACGACGGGAGGGAGAGCGAGAGCGAGCAAGGCACGAACATCATCATCATGCGGGGAAGAGGGGGGCGCACAGATGGTACTAACAAGATACCCCGTGTCGGAGAACCTGCTGTGTTGCTGTGACACGTATGTACGTCCCGAATGATCGGGTGATTGCTTCATCGCAACCCTACACTATCCCTCGGAGCAGAGGCCGCCTCTGATCTATCGGTCTGCGCAGGGGTCACACGGGGCATCTCGCACACCATCATGGATGTGAGTGCCAGGGAGTCACGCGTGGTCTTGGTGTCTCTCGTGTTACTTTCGTGTCCACAGCAGGGGGGTGCGAATGGATCTTCCAATGGTTGGGAGGTGCTTCGAGCAGTGGGCAGTACGCAGCCACCCTACGCGCTGCGGTGAAAAGATTTACGAAGTACCCTTGGTGGGGGGGCTCCTGCTATCTACTTCTAGCGCCGCGGCCGTTTTTCTTCTTTTTGAGTAGGTGTCTTGTTCGGCTGCGCTCGCTCAACAATCGCTTGTGAACATCCGATTGAATGCCATGCGGCCAAGAGGAAAAAATCGCCACGTTTGGTGGCTTCTGGTCATGCTAATGAAAGACACACCCCGCACACCCCACAAGTTGCAGTCAGCAGCAGCAGGACCAAGATGAGTTCGTGTCAGTTCCAGATGGTGCACTGATGCCAGGCGTTCGTCGTGTTGTCTTGTCTCTCTGCTTCTCGTTGGAGTGGAAGGGGAAGGAAGGTGTTGCGCATTTTGTTTGATTTCGCTTCCCTCGTTGAGAACAATACTCGATAATAATTTGTCGTGTGTATCCAGCTCAATCGGCCCGACTCGACTCGCCTCGACTCACAAGAGGACTGCGGACAAGCACAAGAGATCAGACGACCCGGGGGGCGCGTGCGATAGATGGGTATATGTCGCAAGGGACACAGCATAGAAGGGAGCTCGCCCGCGTCTACAGTAGTACAACAGCAGTAGCAGCGGTAGGGCATCTGCGGTATATTTGGCGATCCGATTCCCCCGCCCTCCGCTCCTTCACAGAATCAGCAACCAACGACGAAAGCAACTACTTTCTTTCCCTTACCTCTTCCTCTGCCTGTTTTGGGTTGGCATTGACCAATGGAAGAAGACGACAGTTGCGCCCGTCTCACCCATTGTGGGGCGAGTCTACGCACCTCCGGTGCACAGCAGTATAACGATTAGGTTCAGATGTAGCACTGCTGTATCTGACTTCATTTCGTATATCGCCCTTGCTGTGCTGCACGATGCCTGTGTGTGTGTACCTCATGCCCTCATGCACAGCCCTACCGCACGTCCCGCCACGACAGCAACCCCTCGAGCTTTCCGCCTCAGGACCCCTACGAGCACCAGCAGCAACAGCAGGTGAACAAGCAGTCTTCTTGGTTTGACTTTCGAGCTTGTCATGGGAGGATATGGATTGTTTGCGCATTCCCTAGCCGAGCAACAGTGCTTGTGCTTAGCTTTTGCAAAGGTATGTAGTGCCGATACAGCAGGTTTTGGTGGTGTTTGGCCAAGCGCGACTGAAACAGAGTGCTGAGTAGTGAATGGCGCTCGTTTTCGTTTCTACAATACACTGCAAACGCCGCTCGCTCAGTAGTCAAGGAAAGCTCTGATAGTCTGAATGACGGTGGCGATGGGCGTAAGTTCGTGCGTGTACAGCAGTATTTGAGCCCTGGCTCGCTGTCTGTGGTCCCGCGTTGTTGTTGTTGGCCTGGATGATGGCTGCATCATCAAGCGCCTGGCGATTTGTGATGGACGATATGCGAAGTTCGCTCGTGCGGGTAGACCATTCATCTGTCCTCGCTGTCTCCTCTTTAGCGCTCCCTGTCACCTGTCTCTCCAAGCACTTGGATCATTTCCTTACCAGTGCATTCAGAGTACCGCAGCACCCCAACACGCTACCCATGAACGTAAACAATGTCAACACCACTACTGTTTACTGCATATGTTCGCCAAACCTACGTAAAATACAGCAGGCGAACAAGCGCGCACGTATGGACTACGGCGGGGTCGCCGCGGGTGGGGGGCTCAGGGTGGGTGGTAGCATGGGACCTGCTGCCGGCGTCCCCTACGGTGATTACGGAGGCATCGCCATGGACGGCGGCGGCGGCGGCGGCGGCGGCGGCGGCGGCAGCGTGTTGGGCTACCAAACCCCGTTCGAGACTTACGGAGAAGGCAGTCGAGGTGTCAGCGGAGGAGGAGGAGGAGGAGGAGGAGGAGCAGCATCGACAGCAGGAGGAGGAGGCGTGCTGGGAGGGACAAGTTACTACGGGGGTGCCGGCGACGGGCTGGAGGAAGTCCGAGGTGGAATCGTCGGCGGCGCGGCCGCTTTTCACGGGACCTCTGGCGTCGGCACGGCTGCAGCGCTCTACGGCAACACCAGCAACACCGGCGGCGGCGGTGCTGGAAGGTACGCCGAGTATCCGGAAGCAAGCGGCGGAACTACTTACGGTTTGGGTGTCCCAGGGACCGCCGCCGCCGCCGGTGGCAGAGGCGTTGCAGCGACTGGAGGTTACGGCACTAGCGGAGGCATAGGCGATCGGTACGGCGGCGGCGGCGGCATGCAGGAGATTGTCCCGGCCGATGGGTACGAGGACGTGAGGAGCGGGATGGTCGGGGGCGGCTACAGAACGACCAACTACAGCAGCGGCACCGGCGGGGGCTTCGCGATGGCCGGGTCGGACGGAGCCGGGTACGACGGCGGGCGGCGGGGAGGGGGCAGCGCCCTCCCGTACGATAAGTACCCCAGCGACTTCTACCCCAGCGGTGGGTTGGGTACCGGCGGCGGGAGCGGAGGAGGCGGCCGCGTTTGGCCCGGGTCCTCCGCCGCAGGGAGAGGGGGCAGCGGCGGGTACGGCGTTTCGATGGGTGCAACCGCAGGGGTAGGTGGTGCTGGCGCCAGGGGTAGGGGCCGGGACCCCGGGCGAATACGCGGCGATGATGCGACAGATATGCACGGCACCGGCGATATCGCAAGCACGATCGGCAGTATTGCGAGTATGCTTGCCGATGGCGGCGGGGGCGGGGGTGCCGTCGATGATGGTGGTGGGGGGCCCAAGGCTACGCCTGGTGTCGTCGACAACCATGCGGTAGAAGAAGATGACGGGATCGAGGACGAAGGCCCCCTGGGTGGCTGGACGGAGGTGGAAAGTTGGGAGTTCGCCAGGCTGCCACTTGAGGTATTCACAACCCTTTACCCCTGCATATTGACGCTGGCGTGCATCGTGTATTGCTTTGTCGCCGCTCTGACTGTGTCGTGGGTGGTGGTCGTCTATTGGCATCTTGGGCTGTGTTCTTGTCGTCGGTGCTGTCGACGTCCCTCTCACGTCATTGCGCGTATTAATAGTTGCAGTTGATGGCGGTCATGGGTGAGATATCAGCCGTCGTTGTTGTCCCGGCTAGCCCTGCTGCCACCGTTGTTGAAGTGGAGGGTACCATGTTCTTGATGGCGTGCCTTCCTGCCGCCATGCCCCGTGTGCAGGGCAAGACCCGCAAGCCGTGCCCCCGGGAAGTGAGCGGACCGATCCACGTCTTCGACGGCAAGAGAAAGCCCGGTGCCACGGGGTGGCCCCCCGGCATCACCTGGATGGTCAGCGAGACCTACAAGGGTACTCTGGAGGGGATAAACTGGCCGCCCTCGCTCATTGGGGTGGTGCTCACTGTACGTGGTGTAACCCTAACCCTAACCCTAACCCTAAGTTGATTTTCGTAAGCACATGCCGTGGATGGTGGCGTTTTGGCGCCACGCCGTGGGACGATAGAACCCCCGACCTGGCGTTATACTTGACGTTGGTTTGGTGCTTTGTAGATATGTACTGCCTGCAAGAACAAACACCAAAAATAATTGTTTAGTCGAGACCCCGAGTTCCACGAGAACGCTATTGTATTGCTACACGAGCGCACCCTGTCTGCCCACGCTACATGCGAGACGTTCGCTGCCATGTCTTGCCGCGGGTTTTTTACTATCCCTATCCATCCCTATCCATGTCTCGTTTCACCGATCCGCCCTTGTCCTTCCGTCGGTGCCTGGCTTGCCGCTCTCGATGTTCCTTCCTTCTCTTCGAAGGGCTTCAATCGTCCAATCAAGCACGTCGACTGGCCCGAGGGGTTGTTGGAGCTGTACCTCAGGGGACCCTTCGATCAGGTGTCTCACAACCTGTCGCAACCGACACCAAAAAGTCTCCGGTGGTGTTTTTGACAAAACATTACGTGGCATACATTTTTCGTTTGTTTTTTTTCTTGTTTTCGCAATACGTTCATGGTATATCGTGCTGTGTTGATATCGACAGCAGGTTGTTGTTGTTTTTGTTGTTGTTGTATTCACATTAAAAACCGTTCCGTTCTCTCTGCCCAGTACCTTCCTCTGTCCGTACTAGTCTAACACTTGGCGGGGTCGATTCCCGTGGTCACAGGCTAGCTTCCCCAAAAAAGGTATACGAAAATAAAATGGACCCGAAGGGTCTGCAAGCCAATAGAAGTCAACGACAGATAGTTTCGGCCATTCCGCTCGTCTCTACACGCTATGCGAGGTGACCCTAGATTGGAAAAGCAGGTGGATTATCTTTTTTTTTCGTCGTTTCAGCCCCTCTGGCGTTGCGATACACACGCACGCACATCGTTTTGGTGTTGATGCCGACGGAACGATGGGCACGTACATTTGTGGCGATGTCGACCAAAGGCAGGTGACATCTCCGTGTATTTGGCGTCGGTAATCCCAACCCTTCGGCGTTCCGGTCCTCGACTCACTGCTGCTCTGCACATGTTATTGTTTGCTTCTTGCGCCATCATGTTGGTTTGAAGCCTATCGAAGAAGCTCGCTTCCCGGAGTCTCTCAAGACACTATCCTTCGGGGCCTGCTTCAACCGCCCTGTCGAGGAGGCCGAGTTCCCGCAGGGTCTGGAAGGCCTATTCTTCGGGGATAAAGACAAGGTGGCCGGAGAAAACTGGGCAGAGGGGGGCCTCTAACTGGGCAGAGGGGGGGGGGGGAATCAAGGGGGCTGGCTCAGGG